GTTCTGTGCTTTGGAGGCCACATTCTATTTTCTCTCTGCCTCTTTTTCTCTGCAAGGGCATTTTGACAATTAGTGGGCTCTCTATAAATATTTATTAGATAAGTTCATGTCAAATACTCAGTACACTTTTTTATACCTTATATTGATATTTTACTTGTCATAGTGGTGATTTGCCAACCTGGGTCCTATGGCATAATTTGGTCAAGGCACAGCCAAATATTTTGTCAGGGTGTAAGAATATCAGACAGTGCCTCCTCTAAATTATTAAACGCGTAGCTAGTGTTGTTTCACTAAATGCAGGCAATCATAGAAAATTTAATTATTTTATAGGCATAAATATTCCAACCCATCACCAAGTTGCTTTAAAGCAGAGGTTAATGCCCTAACTGGTTTGGCTCAGTGGATAGAGTGTCGGCCTGCGGACTCAGGGGTCCCAGGTTTAATTCCGGTCAAGGGCATGTACCTTGGCTGCCGGCACATCCCCAGTGGGGGGCGTGCAGGAGGCAGCTGATCTATGTTTCTTGCTCATCGATATTTCTAACTCTCTATCCCTCTCCCTTCCTCTCTGTAAAAAATCAATAAAATATATTAAAGTAAATAAATAAATAAATAAATAAATAAAGCAGAGGTTAAGTTCATTTGTAAGGGCATGGAATTAAAATAGGCATAAAACACAGGAGGTCAAATTTAAAGTAAAGATATTAAGGTAAAAAATAAATAAAGCGAGTCTGAAAATAGTGATAATTATTTGACTTGAAATTTATTTGGGGTAACAGTGAGAAATTACATTGAAACATGGGTGGGTGAATTTGCAGAAAATTCACTTACAATACGATTTATTGAAAAAAAACCCACATATTTATGAAATTAAAGAAGCAAAACACAGTTTACTGGCTATGTGACTATGGGCAGACTTTTAATGTTACCTTGATTAGAAATATCGTGTATGTAACCTAGTTAGTAAAATGAGTTGGTAATTTCTGTTATTTTAACAACTACAATCCCATTCCCTTTTTTTGTTTCTTATCCTGCATAAAATTTATTCAAGATAATTTCAGGTAATAAATGTACAGCCCCTTTTCCTAGTATTCCAAATCTAGTCCAGTATCATATCAAAACTTCTACCTTCACCAATTAATATTTCTTCATTCAGCCAGCTGGGCCTATTTTGGGCAGGGAAACTTACCATGGGAAGAATCATTGACTCTCTTTAAATTTTTAATGGGTGAATCAGAGGCTAGCTAGACCCTTTGTCTATCAATATCCAGATAACAGCCTGGCCAGTGTGGCTCAGTGGTTGAGTATTATGATTCGATTTCCAGGAGGTTATGGTTTGATTTCCAGTCAGGGCACATGCCCAGGTTAGATCCTCAGTAGGGGCATGCAGGAGGCAGCGATTGATCATGATTCTCTCTCATCATTGATGTTTCTCTCACTCCCCCTCTCCCTTCCTCTCTGAAATGAATAAAAACATTTAAAAATATATCCAGGCAACATACACTATGCTCTCCAGCAGTCATCATGAAGCCATTCTCACTTTGCTTGAGGGAAGGGAAGTCCCTGCACCATGGAAAGGAACAAAGAACACTGACCACTCTGTCCAGATTAATCCTCATCACCATTGCCCTTAACTCCTTGTCACCTTTGCCTTCCCTGTGGAGAGGCTGGAGGTAGGTGATGGGTTAATGCTGGCAGAAGCAAGCATGCAGATTCTGCAAAGATGATCTTCTATAATAATAAAAGCACAATATGCTAATTAGACCAGAAGTCCTTCTGGATGTCCTTCCTGACAATCTTCTGGACAAAGCCGGGACTGCAAGGGAAGCCCGGGTCCCTGGTGCTGGAGGGAAGCCCGGGTCCCAGGTGCGAGAAGGAATCCAGGGTCCCGGGTGCTGGAGAAAAGCCCAGGTCCCAGGTGCCAGAGAGAAGCCGGTGCCAGCAGCTGGGGAAAGGAAGGCCTACTCTTGCACGAATTTCATGCATTGGGCCTCCAGTATAGAAATAAATTTAAAACTGAAAGGATACTGGCACCTACTATATTTTTTTCTGACCTTAGAGATATTGGCTAGAAATTCTGAGGTTATCAGCAATATCTTAATATTGGTTATATTTTAAGGTGTAAGTATCATATCTGGCACATAATTGGTATCTAGGAAATGCTAGTTCAATTATTTCTCATTTATCCCTCCCTGTCTCTCTCTCTCTATCCTTCCTTGAACTACATTGCTTTCTAGTCCATAATTTTAATACTATAAATGTCCTCTTGTGCAAATACATCACATTACTGAATTATGTTCATTTTTATCAAGCCATCTTCTTTCCATAGCATGGAAAAGAAAAAAATAATTGGATTTATAAGTAAATATCATTAAAGAATGCTAAAGTATTGAGTATATGGAGACTTGAAAATTATATTTCAAGTGCTTAAAACAGTGAATAACAAAACAAAATAAATATTAAATATTTCCAGATATTTCTATTTGTCCCTCAGTTTCCTCAACCATAATGTAAGTTTAAGACTAGATAATGTTATCCTATATAATAAAAGCCTAGGTGGCATCACGCGTTACATCATCACAAATGGCCACCACAAGATGGCTGGCAGGGGAGGGCAGTTGGGGGCTATCAGGCCAACAGGGGAGCAGTTATGAGGCGATCAGGCTGGCAGGCAGAAGTGGTTAGGGCAGTGGTTCTCAACCTTCTGGCCCTTTAAATACAGTTCCTCATGTTGTGAACCCCAACCATAAAATTATTTTCGTTGCTACTTCATAACTGTAATTTTGCTACTGTCATGAATCATAATGTAAATATCTGATACGCAGGATGGTCTTAAGAGACCGCTGTGAAAGGATCGTTCGACCTCCAGAGGGTTTGCGACCCACAGGTTGAGAACCGCTGGGTTAGGGGCAATCAGGCAGGCAGGCAGGAGAGTGGTTAGGATCCAGCAGTCCTGGATTGTGTGAGGGGTCCCAGATTGGAGAGGGTGCAGGCCGGGCTAAGGAACACCCCCCCCCCCCGCCATATGAATTTTGTTCACTGGGCCTCTAGTTAATTTAGAAGTGAGAGTAAAACGATGTCACACTGGTTGGAAATATGTTTTATCTCCTCAGTCCTCCATCTCTGCCCACTTAGGGGTTTTCCATAGGAGGGCTTCTAACATATTAACAAGTAATATTTGTCTTCTTTCAATGGTTACATATTCCCACAGACTTTAATAATTTTATGTATTTCCAAAAATGTAATGGCTTTAATATAAAATTTATTGATCTTATTTATGGTCCTACAGTCTACCATTTACAGGGTAGCTTCACTGTTGCATAGAGAAATGCTTCTCGTGTTGTTTTTGTTTGTTTGTTGTTGTTTTAAATAAAGTCACTGCTTCAAGGTCCAAGAAGTTTCCTCTAACAAACATAAATCACTCACCAGCAAGAGCTAAGGTGACCTGGAGGAATGCCAGAAGCTGATAAGCTGAGGTGTCTGAGCAGTTGTCAGTCAGAGATCAGATAAGCAGAAGATATCAGGACAATATCCATATCAGTGACCAGAGGAGTAAAGAGTGTGCAAAATCCAGTTAAATAATCTGAAACTACTGGCAGCCAGTGAAAATAATTGAAGAGAGCCCCCTTTGGAAGGGTGATGAGGAAAGGTGATTGGGGATGGAGAGTGCTGCAAAGAAAAAAATTGACAAAGAGCCAATGCACTGTCTTGGCCTCCACTGTCTTTATATTCCTATCACTGGGTGGAGATTCAGTGCTGACTGAACCTGGCTTGGAAGGAAACTGTTGATAACTACAAACAGCTGCCTGCCTGAGTAGCAGACACTTATTCTGCATTTGCTGGGGCAGAGAACAGACATATTTCTCCAGCATAGGCAGTTCCCCGACATTAATATCAGTGAACATGCTCTCAGTGCCTCTCACGATTTTATAAGCTTTGATCACAGTTGCTTCATCTTTCATGTTTGCAGGCAGAATGAGCCTGTAGCCCTCCCACATGTGGCAGCGCCTCTGAGCCCCTCTCCCCCCAACCCACCTACCCGATGATCTGAGCTTATCATCCTCCGGACTTTCTTCAACTCCATTATTTCTTAGTGGATCAAGGAAATTTTCCAGGTGCGGATTCTCCATTGTTTAAACAAGGACAGACAATAATTTATGTTTTATTCCTAAAAACTTTTTTTCTCATGTCTCAACACACTTTGAGCTCTAAATGTTTCTTGAACAGCTGTATTTGTGGAAAAATACAGTACTTCTTCAATATCAATGTGTGCAGACACCAGCTGGAGTCTTGTTAAAATATAGATGCTAATTAAATAGGTCTGAGGTGGGGTCGAATTCTGCATTTTTAGAAAGTTCCTAGGTGATGTTGCTAATGTGTAGACTGTACTCTGAGTAATGATGTATTATTACAACAACCACAGAGACGTTTTGTATGGCAGAAGAAAAAGTTTTAAAAGGAATGTGGATTATTTCCCTCATTCCACTTCCCACTCCCAAATCAGGACTATATTCTTCCAAATTGGCATATAGTTATTGATTTTTCCCATGAAAACAAATACATAGTATATCACTGCAATTTATTTATATAAATTTAACATTATAAAATTCAGAAAGGTTTAATGTTTGTCCGATACACTTCAGTGTAGTTATGTGCTTTTTATGACATCATGAAACTTATCATCAAGGTATATACATATGTAATGAGACATGTTGGCAAAGAAAAACTGGGATGATGCCAAATTGGAACTGACATAAGGCTATGTGACATAAGTTTATTCAAAATGACATAAATGTTAGGCAAGGGATTTGACTACCATTTTTTTTTCATCAACTGATTAACAGGTAAATCAACAGTAGTTTATTTATATAATAAGTTAATTATACTTCAATACAGCTATTTAGAAAAGATTTTGTTTTAATTTTATAAGCAATGGGAAACCACTTAAGATTTATAAATGAAGAAAAACTATTGAAAAAACTGCCAGTAAAGAATTATTCAGATTAAAATATAAAACTAGACTGAATGTCCTTGAGCATCTCCAGGAAGGCCTGCGGGGATGGCGCCTCCACATTCTGGAAGGTGTCCTGGACTCTGCCGTACCAGAAGAAGTATTTCTCCTCCGGCCAGATGAACCCGAAGTGGTCCTCATCGAACAGGATGAAGACTCCAGGGCAGCAGTGCCTGGGGTAGGCGAAGGGATCAATGTCCACGCCATAGAAACACATCCTGCAGGTTCGGGGGTAGTTCTGGTCACTTGAGCGCATGCCCACAGGCAGCCCAAACGGGACAGGCTGCTCCTCCGCAGCTGCAGCCCCAGACTCCCCGACGCTGGGCTGGGCAGGGCTCTGCCAGCCATGGCCCTCGCTTTCCTCAGTCCCGTCTTCTTGCTGCTGCTGCTGCTCCGGGGTCACCTGCTCGTCAATCTCCTGGACCACGCGGGAGAGCTCGTCGAAGTTGCGGAAGATCTCACCATCTCGCAGCTGGATGCGGCGCAGGAGGTGGATCTCTAACGCCTTCGTGCCTATTCCCATGAGCCTCGTGACCCTGGCGCACTTCCCGTGGAAGCTGGGCATGACAGTCGTCGGGCCGAAGGCATTGTATTTGCGGTGGAAGAGGCCTGGCCCCATGAGGTCGTCCGGGTGGCGAGGCGTGGCGGGAGGTAGAGGCGGCGGTAGGTCAGGCAGTCATACTGCTGTCCGTCCTCCTGCACCCGCCCCCGTTCTCCCCTGAGCCGCGTTGGTGAATCCGTTCGGAGGTCGGTCCTCTTGCACTGGACGGTGAGCCTGTCCTTCTGGATCTGCATGTGGCCGCTGTGGGGCCTGCCGAGGAGGCCTGCCATGCACTCCAGCGCGGCTGATTTCCTCTCGGTCAGGCGAATTCTGAACCAGGGCTTGAAATGTATTGGGCCACCCACATGGTGTTGAGGGAAGGCCTGTGCGTCCCGCCAGCAATGCATAAGCCGTCCACCACGACATTCAGCAGTGTTCTGCAGCTATAATGTAGCTGCCACAATCCCAAAATGTGTCTGTACGGGAACAGCTTCGCATAGAATTCTCGGTAAGACATACCGATCATCTCCAGGTTCTGCAAGTTTTCACGAACGCCAAACTCCTCGTGGCAGCGCCGTCTCCAGATGCTGTCGGTGTGCAGGATGTGGTGGAATTTTTTCCTCCAGGTTGTCTAGTTTGTTGGAGTAGAGCTGTCCATAGTATTTTTTAAAAATCATTTGTATTTCTGTGGGGTCTGTTGTTATTTCGCCTCTATCATTTCTGATTTTGTTCATTTAGGTCCTCTCTCTTTGCTTCTTGGTGAGCCTGGCTAGAGGTTTGTCAATCTTGTTTATCCTTTCAAAGAACCAGCTCTTGGTTTCATTGATTTTCTGTATTGTGTTTTTTTTTTGGTCTCTATGTAATTAATTTCTGCTCTAATCTTTATTATATCCTTCCTTCTGCTCACTCTGGGGTTTTCTTGTTGCTTTCATTCTAATTTTTTGAGTTGTAGAGTTAGATGATTTATCACCATTTTTTCTTGTTTTTTGAGATAGGCCTTTAGAGCTATAAACTTCCCTCTCAGGACTGCTTTCATTGTGTCCCAAAGGTTTTGGATTGTTGTGTTTTCATTGCCATTAGTTTCCAGGATATTTTTAATTTCTTCTTTGATCTCATTGGTAACCCAATCAATATTTAATAGCATGCTATTCAACTTCCAAGTGTTTGAGTATTTTGGGTTGTTTTTATTGTAGTTTATTTCTAATATTATGCCATCGTGGCGTGAGAAGACGCTTTTTATGATTTCAATCTTCTTGAATTTGGGGAGACTTTGCTTGTGACCCAATATGTGGTCTATTTTTGAATCTGTCCCATGAGCCCTTGAGTAGAATGTATATTCTGTGGCTTTGGGGTAAAGTGTTCTGAAGATGTCAATTAATTCCATCTGATCTAGTGAGTCACTTAGGATTGCTGTTTCTTTGCTGATTTTTTGTCTAGAGGATTTTTCCAGTGATGTCAGTGGTGTATTAAAGTCCCCTACTATGAATATATTGTTGTCGATCTCTCCCTTGATATCTTCCAGGAGTTTTTTTTTTGTTTTATGTATCTGAGTGCTCCTGCATTGGCTGCATATATGTTTATCAGGGTTATATCCTATTGTTGTATCGATCGCTTTAGTATTATGAAGTGGCCTTCCTTATCAATTGTTATATCCTTCACTTTGAGGTCTATTTTGTCCAACATACGTATTGCTACCCCAGCTTTTTTTTCCTTTCCATTTGCCTGAAAGATATTTTTCCATCCCTTTACTTTCAGTCTGTGTGAATTCCTTATTCTGAGGTGGGTCTCTTGTAGACAGCATATATATATATATATATATATATATCATGTTTTGTTATCCATTCAGCCACTCGATGTATTTTGAGTGGAGCATTTAGTCCATTTACATTTAAAGTTATTATTGAAAGGTACTTGTTTGTAGCCATTTCTTTTTTTGTGTGGCTGTTTTCTTTCTGAGCTTTTTATTTCTTCTTTTTACACCAGTCCCTTTAGCATTTCTTGCATTGCTGGCTTGGTGGTGATAAACTCCCTTAGCCTTTTTTTGTCTGTGAAACTTCTTATTTCCCCTTCAAGTTTGAATGATAGCCTTGCTGGATAGAGTATTCTTGGATTCAGTCCTTTGCTTTGCATCACTTTGTAAATTTCTGTCCATTCTTTTCTGGCCTGATATGTTTCTGTTGAGAAATCATTTGATAATCTAATGGGAGATCCCTTGTATGTAACTTTTCGTCTCCCTCTTGCAGCCTGTAAGATTCTCTCTTTGTCCTGAACATTTGCCATGGTAATTATGATGTGTCTTGGTGTGGGTCTTTTCGGGTTCACCTTGTTTGGGACTCTCTGGGCTTGTGTGACTTTTTTCTTCCCCACCTCAGGGAAGTTTTCCGATATTATTTCTTCCAATAGGTTTTCTAATCCTTGTTCCTCTTTCTGTTGTTCTGGCACCCCTATTATTCGTATGTTGTTTCGTTTCATGTTGTCCCAAAGCTCCCTTAGGCTCTCCTCCTGTCTTTTAATTTTTTTCTCCAATTGCAATACAGTTTGGGTGTGTTTTGCTTTCTTGTCTTCTAATTCACTAATTTGGTCCTCCGCTTCTCCTAGTCTACTGTTGATACTTTCAATGGTGTTTTTTATTACAGCTATATTGCTCTTCACTTCTTCTTGGTTCTTACATAATTTATTGATATTTTCATCTGTTTCTTCTTGCTTCTTGCATAAGTTATTGATTTTTTCATCTGTTTCTTCTTGCTTCTTGCATAAGTTGTTGATTTTTTCCTCCGTCCGGTTTATGCACTCTAGGACCCTTATTCTGAATTATTTTTCTGTCATGTTGCATGCCTCTGTATCACTTAGCTGATTTTCTGGTGAGTCCTCCTTTTCTTTCCTTTGGGGGTTTCTTTGTCTACACATGTTTGATCTCACTGACATATCTAGACATTGAGTTGTTCAGTTGCTGCTCCCTGGGTGGCAGTGGCTCCTTGGGTTGTGGTTGCTCCTCGGGCGGTTGCGATAGCAGCTGCTCCTCAGTTGGCAGCAGCTCCTCTGGTGGGTGCTGTTCACAGCTGTGGTGGCTCTTCTGGCTGGTGGGGGGAGGCTTCACGTACAGCTGCTGTTCCTCAGACAGAGGGTGTGGTACTCACGAGGCTGCTGTTGCTTGGATCTGCTTTCCAGGGGAGTTTTGCCCTTCCCAGCTGCAAACCGTCTCCCCTTGACTACCATTTAATAGTGGTGTCGGGTGCCAAAAATATGTGCTACCCCATTATATGGATGAAGAAATGAGGAATTTGATTCATCGTTAAAATTTCATTCCAGGGTAGGGGATTGTGATTGGGGCATAAGACTAATTATTACCTTAGAAACTCAAAAATAGGAACAATGGTAAACAAACTCCCCTTCCCAGGTCAGGAGAGAGGACCACAACTCACTTAAAGCTAGTTCTAGTCCAGCCGTGGGCAAACTATGGCCCGCGGGCTGGATACGGCCTGTTTGAAATGAATAAAACTAAAAAAAAAAAAAAGACCGTACCCTTTTATGTAATAATGTTTACTTTGAATTTATATTAGTTCACACAAACACTCCACCCATGCTTTTGTTCCGGCCCTCCGGTCCAGTTTAAGAACCCATTGTGGCCCTCGAGTCAAAAAGTTTGCCCACCCCTGTTCTAGTCAGTAGGTAACATTAAGCCTCATCAATAAGCTGCACACACCAGAGGGGCAGGAGGTGGGGGGGGGGGGGGAAAAAGAAGTAGGGTTTGAGAAGTACAGTTTTGTAGTTACAAAATTGTTATGGGGCTGTAAAATACAGCATAGGAAATATAGTCAATAATATTGTAATAATGATAATATGGTGTTAGGTCGGTATTGGAAATTTTGGGGGGAACACTTTGTAGAGTATGTATATGATTGTCTAACCACTATGCTGTATGCCTAAACTTATACAGATAATATTGAATTTAAATTGTAATTGAACAGCAATAAAAATTCAAAAATAAAATAAGCTGCACATTTTCTTCTTCATATCTATTTAAAAGATTGCAGAAAAATCAGGTATCACACACCTTTATATATTATTTTTAAAATAGGTCAATGAAGACTGCGGGTCCAGCAAAAATACCATATTTTTTGTGTATAAGAAGCTATTATTTCCTAAAATCGTTAGACTGAAAATCAAGGGGCGTCTTATACATCCAAGTTAGCTGAGGAGGGAGTTGCGCGGGTGCGTAGCTGCGCATACCTTGTCAGTCAGGCTTCCTCCAATCACGAGTCTTATTGTTACTGACATCAGCTGATGCAGTAATTGGAGGTGGAGGTGGATAGTATGCAGATGCAACAGGGGCGGAGCATTCTGACCCTATGAAGATGTAAAAAAAAATAAAAAGATAAATACTGGTAAGTGATTATCTTAATCTGCAAAATTCTAACTGAATATAATCAGCTATGAAAAAGAGCATGGAAATAGAGCTGCAGAGAGACAATTTGGACCTCCTCCCACTGAGTGTATGATCAGGCAGTGGAGAAAACAGGAAGAACAACTCCTAAAGATGCCAAAAAAGGAGAAGGCTTTAAGAGGAAAACCAGCAAAGTGGGCAAACTTGGAGCAGAGGCTTAAGACTTGGATTATGGAGCAGCACCAGAGTGGCTTATATGTGTCAACCAAGCTTATTCAATGTTAAGCAAGAATGCTTGCAAATGAAACTAACATTGTTGATTTTACAGGAAAGGCAAAATGGTGCTTCAATTTCATGAGGAGAGAAGGGTTGGCCATGAGAACATGAACAAAGCTCAGAAAATGCCACCAGTTTATGAGGATGATATCACATTTATAGACAGTGATTCAGAAGACAGCAGTGATACAATAGAAGTTGAAGAAATTGATATGTCTGGAACTAATAGTGATGAAGAAGACAGCAGTGATGCAACAGAGGCTGAATAAAGTGATACGCTGCATAATATCATAGTACTGGTATGTAGCATTACTTGTGGTAATTACTAAATAAAAATGTGTTGTTTTATGTTTAAAATATTGATTTCTTAATTTTGGGTTGGAAAAATGGAGGGTGTCTTATACTTGGGGGCATCTTATACACGGAAAAACATGGTAGGATGCCACTCTGTCTCATTTGAATAAAATATTTAACTGTATTCTAGGACTTCTATATTCTTTCATTAGCATTATTTTTTTGCTTACTTTTGTGGCAAATGTTGACATTATGAATTTTTGAAAGCCTTCTTGAAAATCTAAATAGCATTCACTTATTTTGTCTATATGCTTATTTAACACCTATTTTAGGGAGAAGAAACATTTCTTCTCCACTCCTGCAGTTTGTTTCTTCCATGGGGGAGCTCCACTAGTTAACAGTCCTGACTCTCGCCACCTCCTCACTCATCTAATTGTCCATATTGGAATAAGC